GTTCTAGAAAACCTACAAACACTATCGGTCTTAAAAAACTTCAGATGTACAGAGGCGGTGCTAAAGAGAATTCCAAATCTGAAGAAATTAGGAGTCCGTTATTCTGGTCCAACGGAGGCACCACTGGATTGGGGATATTACCGTCTCCATAATCTTGCCCGTCTACATAAGCTTGAATTATTAAAAATCAAGTTTTCAATGCCATCCCCCTCTTTCCTGCAGAACATTACTTTTCCGACATCACTGAGAGAGTTAACTTTATATGGCTGCTGTCTTCCTTGGGAAAATATGACAATTGTTGGTTCATTGTCAAATCTTCAAGTGCTGAAATTGAAAGCGGATGCCTTCAAAGGCCCAGAGTGGGAACCAATTGAAGGGGAATTTGATCAACTGAAATATCTACTACTTGACGGACTTGATCTGAAGCATTGGAGAGCTGAAAATATTCACTTCCCAAAACTTCGGCAATTAGTCATTCGGTGGTGCTCAAGTCTGGAGATGATCCCTTTTGGTATTGGAGAAATTCCAACTCTTGATTCTATAGAATTGCTTCAGTGTAGCCCTACCGTTGTTACTTCAGCAAAGGAAATAAAAGAAGAGCAACTGAACATGGGAAACGACTCCTTGAGATTAAGAGTTGTTGACCTGGTACGGGTTCTCTCTTTCTCTCTCTCGTATGGTGCCAAAAAAAAAAAAATTAAACAAATCTCTATAAAATTTGTATTTTGGATGATACTGTCAAACTGTACAAAACATTTTTTTATTGTTCGATGAAACTCCCACGTCAAATTTGACATCAGAACTTTTCATACTCGTTTTCTCTCTTAATGCAAACATGTGGTCAACTTGTTAATTGAGTTTTGCTAATCCTCTTTTGCAAGGGAATACTTTTTTATTTCTTTCTTTTTTTCTTTTTTTCTTTTTTTTTCTTTCTTTCTTTTTTGCTTTTCACTAATGTAACAAGTTTTTCCTTCAAAATTTCATGACCATGCAAGAGATCCGGGATGTATTGTGATGTAAACTGATGCTTTGAGGAGGGACTGAATTGCTACTCTGTTCTGTTATGCCACTATTCATTGATGTTTAGGGTGCTTCATTGGGGTGTTGGAGCTGTTGTTGAGACATACGTAGGATTTTTGTTGCAGTTAAGATTTTATGCCCTTGTTGACGCCTCGTATAGCTAAAATGCGGGTATTCGTCACGTGCTTTTAAATCGATCGTATGTGCCTAGGCAGATTGTAATGGTGGTAGTTTGCCAAATTTACAATTTTGCGAGCTCATTTTTAATTGTGGTACTTTCAAGTTTAAATATTTTAATTAATGATGTATAAGGTAGCCTTGTTTTTGGCATCTCTGTCATCTAAGTTTCCTCTATTGAAAAAGGAACAAAAATTTTAATTGTTAATACGATAATTTTATATTTACTATCTTGTTTACATCTCGAGATAGACTATTAATCATCACCTACTTGCACACTTGGTGTCAAGTTAGGAATAATCTCGTGATTTGAATATTAATTAAGATCGTCTTGAGTTTAAATTTTTATGTAAGGTGGTTCATTAATAGTATAAGAGTGAGTAAAGGTCTTTGTCTGGTTCATTAATAGTATAAGAGTGAGTAAAGGTCTTTGTCTCTTTCTATTTATGAAAATTGTGTACAGTGATCAAATTTTTATTTCTAATTTACTGGGCTCTAAATGGAAGAGAAGATACAAGCTATAAAGCATAATGTAACTGAAGAATTGAAGCAATTGTACATGTACCCAACATGGTTTTACCTTTTTTATAACGGAAACATCAAATTTTACTTTGAAATAAATACTCAATTCTCGTTTGGTATTGATAAAAAATCGATGCCAGATGTAATGAGGGATGGTATCTTGCATCAATAGACAAACTTCAGAATCTACAAACCATCATCCTTCATTCTGGTTATAAGTCATTTCAACTACCACAACAAATATGGACGATGCAACAATTAAGGCATGTCCAGTTTGGGAGCTCTATCACACTTCCTTGTCCTCCCAAGGCAAGAGTTAAGGGAGAAATTTCTGTTATTGTTCTAGAAAACCTACAAACACTATCGGTCTTAAAAAACTTCAGATGTACAGAGGCGGTGCTAAAGAGAATTCCAAATCTGAAGAAATTAGGAGTCCGTTATTCTGGTCCAACGGAGGCACCACTGGATTGGGGATATTACCGTCTCCATAATCTTGCCCGTCTACATAAGCTTGAATTATTAAAAATCAAGTTTTCAATGCCATCCCCCTCTTTCCTGCAGAACATTACTTTTCCGACATCACTGAGAGAGTTAACTTTATATGGCTGCTGTCTTCCTTGGGAAAATATGACAATTGTTGGTTCATTGTCAAATCTTCAAGTGCTAAAATTGAAATATAATGCCTTCAAAGGCCCAGAGTGGGAACCAATTGAAGGGGAATTTGATCAACTGAAATATCTACTACTTGACGGACTTGATCTGAAGCATTGGAGAGCTGAAAATATTCACTTCCCAAAACTTCGGCAATTAGTCATTCGGTGGTGCTCAAGTCTGGAGATGATCCCTTTTGGTATTGGAGAAATTCTAACTCTTGATTCTATAGGCTTGCTTGGCTGTAGCCCTACCGTTGTTACTTCAGCAAAGGAAATAAAAGAAGAGCAACTGAACATGGGAAACGACTCCTTCAGATTAAGATTTGATGACCAGGTACGGGTTCTCTCTCTCTCTCTCTCTCATGGTGCCAAAAAAAATAAAATAAAAAATCTCTATAAAATTTGTATTTTGGATGATACTGTCAAACTGAACAAAACATTTTTTTATTGTTCGATGAAACTCCCACGTCAAATTTGACATCAGAACTTTTCATACTTGTTTTCTCTCTTAATGCAAACATGTGGTCAACTTGTTAATTGAGTTTTGCTAATCCTCTTTTGCAAGGGAATACTTTTTTATTTCTTTCTTTTTTTCTTTTTTTTTTTCTTTCTTTCTTTTTTGCTTTTCACTAATGTAACAAGTTTTTCCTTCAAAATTTCATGACCATGCAAGAGATCCGGGATGTATTGTGATGTAAACTGATGCTTTGAGGAGGGACTGAATTGCTACTCTGTTCTGTTATGCCACTATTCATTGATGTTTAGGGTGCTTCATTGGGGTGTTGGATCTGTTGTTGAGACATACGTAGGATTTTTGTTGCAGTTAAGATTTTATGCCCTTGTTGACGCCTCGTATAGGTAACATGCGGGTATTCGTCACGTGCTTTTAAATCGATCGTGTGTGCCTAGGCAGATTGTAATGGCGGTAGTTTGCCAAATTTACAATTTTGCGAGCTCATTTTTAATTGTAGTGGTACTTTCAAGTTTAAATATTTTAATTAATGATGTATAAGGTAGCCTTGTTTTTGGCATCTCTGTCATCTAAGTTTCCTCTATTGAAAAAGGAACAAAAATTTTAATTGTTAATACGATAATTTTATATTTACTATCTTGTTTCTTTTAGTGAACATCTCGAGATAGACTATTAATCATCACCTACTTGCACACTTGGTGTCGAGTTAGGAATAATAGCAATTGTACATGTACCCAACATGGTTTTACCTTTTTTATAACGGAAACATCAAATTTTACTTTGAAATAAATACTCAATTCTCGTTTGGTATTGATAAAAAAATCAGATTTTAACTGAGTCAATGTCAACAATCATTTTTAACTACATATTTTATTGGTTCCAAAACTTTTCGACACGCATCTCATCAACTTTTATCAAACTAACAACAAAAAGTTACTTTTAACTAAAATGACCTATAAGTAAAGGTTTTAAGCTTAACCTAACTTGCTCCATATTATATTTAGCATTTAACACTATGCAGCAAAATTATTGCAAAGTGCCAATGCATGGTGACCTGAGCCAGATTAATCATATGTGCTCTCACAGAAGACTCAATCCTACCATTCAAGGCCCGGCCCGAAAATCCATCCATGCATGTGTTGTCATCAGTTAGTGCAGCACTAACCCATGTCTCAACATTGCTCATGTGCCATATGAAGTCTTTACCACGAGCCCGGCCCATGGTCTTGAGCTCTCGGACTGATTTGCTTAGCCGGTCCACCCCATCACTCACTTCTTCAATGCAGTCTTTGAGGGCCGCGTACTCTCTAGGCTTTAATCCTTTAAATTTGGTGAGCTTGGTCAGAAATGTCTTAGATAATTGAGCCGTTTCTATGCTGACGGACAAAACTGTCGTGGTCACTTGGCGTGGGCTTTGTTGGACAGTCGAAGCATAAACTAACAAGGATTGGATACATATGGCTGGATGGTTATAGGGTACAGCATTGTTTTCTATACCATAATTCTTTTAACATTTTGCTACCGACACAGACTCTTCTCCATCAGTGTTATTGTTAATATGAAACATAACGAAGTTTTCAACGTGTATAGTCAATATACCCCACTTGGAAAGTGACTCTTTTCGACCTTTTTGCATTTTAGGACACTATGTATAAGTCGAAAAGGCCGACGTCTAAATGCATAAATTATCTATATTAGATTTTGTACCGACACCAACTGTTCTCCACTGATGTCATCGTTAACATAAAATGTAATGAAGTTTCAATGTAACCCCCACTTGAAAGTGAATCTTTTCGACCTTTTAGCATTTTAGGACAATTTGTATCTATCTGAAATAGTCGAAATGGTCGACGTCTAAATGTATAAATTATCTATAAATAATCAAGCTTTATTTTTAATTATACTTCAATAGACCCACAAATATTCATTTATCCGCCATTTATTTGTGTTTATTTATAAATTAAATCGTTAATAAATTCTTCCAAACATAAGCTAAAGCAAGACTAAACATGCTACTTGAGCATGTTCGTGCTTAGGATTTTAACTTATAAGTAAATTTCAAAATAAAGTACGTTTTATTTAAATAAGTTGAAAATAAAATAAATATCTTATGAAAAATAAGTTTTCTTCATTTGTGTGAAAACAAAAAGCGACCTTAATTTTAAAATGCTATGCTCACAGTTTATTAATTAACATTTGCAAAGAGATACATCATACATGGATCGGTTCTGCCAGTACTAACACGTGTACCTTCATCTCCATAGCAATTCAAAACAAACCATTAGCCATTGCTATAACATTTTTGCATCTACAGGTCAAGCCCTCTTTCAAACATCATCAATCTTATTCTTTCTACATCCTTGGAACGGCCTGCATTACGATAAATCCTGATTAAAAGCTCAAAGTTGTGCTCGTTATCCGGTTCCAACTCGAAGAGTCTTGTGGCAGCAGTCTCTCCAATATCCACATTATTGTGAAGGTAGCAACCATAGAGCAACGCTCCCCAAACAGTAGGACCAGCTTCAAACTCCATTTTGTTCACTATAATGTCAAAAGCTTCATCAAGCAATCCTGCCCTTCCATAAAGATTAACCATACAAGCATAGTGTTCCATAATTGGACTAATTCCATACCTCTCCCTCATCATTGAAAACAATCTCTCGCCATCCTTTACCATGCCCAAATGAGCACAAGCGGATAACAATGAGACCAATGTAATACTGTTAGGCAAAGTGCGACATTTCAACATCTGTTGGAAGTATTCTAGGGCAACAGGCTCCTTAGAATGCGCTGAAATTATTGAATTCCATGACACAGTATCCCTTTGTGGCATGCACCGAAACAACCTTCTTACTACCTCCAGTTTATTATGCTTCGAGTAGAAAACAATCAGTGAGTTAGAAACAGATATATTCCACTCAATTCCTCTACGAAAAGCTAATCCATGAATTTGAATTCCAATTTTATAGGGTAACGCGCTAGTGAGAAATGCTGATATGGTAATTGAATCAGGTTCACATCCCTCATGCGTCATCCCATGTAGTAAATCCAATGCCTCAACCATAAGATTATGCCTCATGTACCCAATAATCATGGAATTCCATGAAACCACGTCCCTGTCCACAATTGTATCAAAAACTTTTCGAGCCTTGCTAATGTCACCGCACTTGGCATACATATCCAGTAGTGCATTTTGCACAAACTTATTGTTCCCACATCCAGAGCGAATCACATCACGATGAACTTCCTCCCCAGCTTGGATCATTCCAACACCTCCGCAAGCCTTCAGAGCCCGTGGAAACGTGTATGCATCAGGCTCCACTCCCTCTTCCACCATCTGAAAATACAATGCCAATGCATCTTCGTACAAACCGACCTCAGCATAACCCGATATAAGTGAATTCCATGGAAAAGCCGACTCATTTCTCTTGGGCATTTGATCGAACACCTTGTGGGCCTTCTCAACGTCCCCATTACAAGAGTACAACCTTAGAAGCTTGGATGAAATGCCCACATTTTTACGCAAAAGTCTTTCTGGAATGAGTTTATGAATCTTACTGCCATGATCAATGGCTTTTAAATGAAAGCAGGTTTCTAGAAGGGAAGCAAAGATATGGGGATCATTGATTTCGACGCCATTTTTGACAGAGGCTTCTATTTTGTTAATGACGATTTCAAGGGCTTCAAGTTTTGTATGTGACCGGATATTTTGGGTGGTTAAGAGTGGCGTTGAGGATGATTTGGGAAATTGGGATTCTGGTTTTGGGTTTTGTTTGTGTTTTTTGTTTTGTTTTCTTGTGGTGTTCTTGTTTAAAGAAGAGTGGAGGGTGCATGAAGAGGTGGTATGGATGCATGTCATATTTTGGGTGTCTCAGTTGAATTCCAAATCTCTCTCTCCCACTGCGTTTGTATTTATATGCATGTGATTATTCCATTACAAATTAGAGACTGATTGTCTAGACAAATTAGATTTACAGAAAGAAGAAAAAAATAAATAAATAAATAAAAGAGAGAGAGAGAGAGAGAGAGAGAACCTTCTAGTGTAGAATGACATTTTTCTATCAATTAGTGTCTGAACGTGCGTTACAAGTTAATAGATTAATGTTTAAAAAAAAAGTGTTTAAATTTTAGAAAAATTCATTTATAAATTTAAAAGATATTCATAAATTCGTTGAAATTAACTTATTTTTCGTCAATTTTCTCAGTATATTTTTTATTTTTCTTCTGAACATTTAAGAAATTGCATATATTTGTACCAGACATTTCTCTGTACAAAAGTTTGTGGGAAACTCTTTTATGCGAAATATATTTCTCTATATATATTAGTTCAGCCTAAAATATGATTTAGCCTACTCAAGCTTTGCCCCTAATCCATACTATGATTATAATAATTAAATATCACCAAGATATACAACATAACAATATCTACACTATTGCATTAAAAATGATTTTTCATGTTAACGGGCATCATGCAAAATACTAAATTATAACTTAAAATATTAAATGTAATTTCATGTATGAACCTTCTTCCAATGATTTTGTTGTCATTAGACCTAACTAAATCCTAATATTATTTAAAAAATTGAAAAAATTTAATTATATCATTAAACGAAAAGAATTAAAAAATTAAATTGAACAAAAAATTATTTATAATATGAAGAAAAAAGAAATTTTAAAACAATTTTCGAAAAATATATAATAAAAACAAAAAAAAATTAAACAAAAGAAAGTTACAAAAATTAAATAAAGAATATATAAATATTATTTAATTCAAATTTTAAAAAATAAGTTTTATCATAAAAAGAAAAGAATTAAATAAAGAATTTTAAATCGAAAAAAAATTTATTTATAACATAAACAAAACAAATTTTAAAAAAATGAGGAAAAAAACGAAAAATAAAATCTCAGAAATCTCTCCGTGTGATGGAGAGAAACCTCTCCATCTCCGTCCAGGATGGAGAAAATGAACTTCATTTAGGATGAAAAAACCAGGATGGAGAAACTCTCCATTTTCTCCGTCCTCGATGGAGAGAATTCCTCACGGAGCTAATGTCTTCATACAGGCTTTAGCATTGGTAATATCTGATAATTTTGGTCTTTATAATTACTCAGGTGATTTATCATCAACACTATAAAATGAGTAAACAATTAAACAAAATGAACTCTAAAGCAATGAATAAACCATAAGTAAAGAGATTTTTCACTTACAAGGTACACAGATGAACCTCATTCAATGTACAGCAACTCAAATATAAGTGAACCGGAAAGTACTAAATTTTTCAAAATCATTATAATTATAAAAAAAATAACCTTGGTAATATTTGACTATTTTGGTCTTTAAAGTTATCCATGTAATCTTACTTATCATTAACAATGTGAATGAGCAAACAATGAAACAATATGAATTGTAACGCGAGAAACAAATCACAAGCAAAGAATATTTTCACTTACAAGAAGCACATATGAACCCTGTCTAATGTATTGCAACTTGAATTCGAGAGTTTAATTTTTTTGATATTTGGAAAGAAGAAGAAGAGTAATAGATGAATGGTAGATTGAGTGAAAAAAAAATGGAGAAATCTTTATATCATA